GAGAAAAGTCTACACCTTGTAGACAATATGACAGCAAGGACTGAGATGATAATCTAATGTTCTTTAATCTTTCCACCCCCAATCCTTGCAAAGAAACTAAGACAATACATTTAAAAATAAAAATTATATAGTACCTCAATAGATAGAAACCAAAAGACAAATAATTGAGATTATTTTTTAGAATTAGTCAGGTAGAAAGCTGTTTTATAATTGAATTTTTTAGAATTAATCAGGTAGAAATCTGTTTTATAATTGAATCATTCGAGTACTTTGAATCTCTAATAATTATTTAGGTCTGAATGATGCATGTAATTGCCTCAGTTATCTACCTTGCTTTACCAGTGGAGACTTAGAAAGAGAAGAACATTTCAGATGAAAGTTTGGGAAGTAAAGGCAGAAAGGAAAAGTTACAGACGTGGGTTACTTCAGCTTGAACTAGGAACAATAATTCAGTAAGTCCTCAAATACAGGAGAGGTTGGTGACCACCATTCTCCATCTACACAGAGCACAGGACTAGCATAGTACTAGGTATGCAGGGGCCGCACAAACAAGGCATAAGGAATGAATTGGCCAGTGATAATAACAAGGTTCCTTCCAAACAGGTACAATGTAGCAAAAGGTAACTCGGTGAGAATTGTCTCTTCTCTGAAGTCTTTAAAAACTAAGAATTTAGGCGAAGTGCGGTGGCTTAATCCCAGCACTTTGGGAGGCCAAGGCGTGAGGAACACTTAAGGCCAGGAGTTCAAGACCAGCCTGGACAACATAGTAAGACCTAATATGTCAAAATTCAAAACTTAGCCAGGTGTGGTGGCACATGTCTGTAGTCTCAGCTAGTCAGGAGGCTAAGGAAAGAAGATAGCTTGAGCCTAAAAGCTTGAGGCTGCAGCAAGCTGTGATCGTGCCACTGTACTCCCATGTGTGAGACAGAGCTAGACCCTGTCTCTAATAATAATAATAACGATGAATTAAGTAGTTAACATAGTTTAGATCTAGGCACATATCTTAAAAGCAGGTGAAAGACTTGAAACTAGGGTTTAAATGGTCCTAAAGTAGCATGGGACTAGAGCTTTCTCCCTGATCACAATATTTGACTTCTCCCCACATCCTTTCACCCCACCAACAGGACTTCGCAAAAGGAAGCCAGTTCTGCTCTCAGCTATACCTCAGGCCCTAAGCTACTATTTCCTCATGAACATTTGCCACAATGAGTTAGTTACTCACCCATTCCTCGTTCTGTCATCTCAAGAAATGAATTTACACTCCAAAATCAATTGTCAGATAGGGATTTTAGACCCAAGTGGCACTAAACTCAGAGGAGAAAAAGGACAGTAATTTCTTAACAGTTCTTAGTATTTTTCTCTCCAGCTTTATCTTAAAATCATACGTCTTAATAATTCAGGATGAATGTAGAGTCCTTAACAAGCCATTTTATGAATGCTCAGACTTTTGGCATTAAAAAAAGAATCAAAGCGATGAGGTAAATGGCTTGCTAAGAGATGCAGTGACTTAGAGGTAAGCTCAATAGCTTGCATCTGCCTGGTCTCAACCCAGATAATACTTTCAAAATTGTCCCAAGTTACCTGGAGAACATAATTGATGATGTTGTTCCATTTTACAATGACATTGTTCCATTGTTCCATTGATCATTATTCAGAAACGTCACTGAACTAAATTCACATCCTACTATAACAGATCCCAATGCAGCCTTCAAATTAGTCATCCCGAGAAATACACTATGGATTGGAACCACACATTCTGTGTGGCAGAACACAGTAGCTATTTTGTTTCACAAGTACAACATGATGGTTTTTATGGGGGAAGTGAAGAATAATTTATCCAGTGGGGGAGGAATGTAATTAGCTTGAATACAAAGTATTGGAATTTGGCCAGGACAATAGCCCAGTTATTTTTTTAAAAGACTCCATTATGGATTATACTAAGAATTAAACTTAAATAGTGCCCTCTGTTGAAGCTTGTATTCTCGTGGTTATTATTTTTTTCTTTGTCCTTCACATATACTAAGGGAACAGATCGGTAATAGCATTTGCCGAGCATTTATTGTGTGCTAGGCACTTTGCTAAATGTTCTTATTGTTCACCATGCCGGTATGATGGTTGGAAAGCCAAGCTCCTTCCTCATCCTCTGCAAAATGCTTGTTCTGTGGTCCTCTCTTGGACCTTCAAGTGATCCCCCAGTGAAGCAAGCCACTTTCAGAACAGAGCTAGCAGGAGACCTGAGCAGATAATAGACTGGGCTATTTGGCCAGGAAATTCCACAGTCCCTGTTACCTGGACTTTGGCCTAAAAGGTAAAGTGGGTGCAGGGAACACAGGCTCCACCAGGTGCTGCCCTGAGCCCTGCCTATGGCCTGATCCTTAGCCCAGAGGCTGGAAAATGGACCCTGGTACAGGTCCTCATGCACTGTCTCACCTCCTGCCATGATCAAAGTCTCATGATACTGATTTGAGACTGACTGCAAAGATTTATGCTCTTAACAACTAAGCTAAATAAGCTCCATAGAACACAACAGGAAAACTGCTAACTGAACAAGTGATTGCACAAGAGACATGGTACTTGTCTTCTTAGAGTTTCATAGTAAAAGACTTGTATATTACCTATGAAACAAAAGTTTAGGCTGGGCACAGTGTCTCATGCCTGTAATCCCAGTATTTGGGGAGGCTGAGGTGAGAGGATCACTTGAGCCCAGGAGTTAGAGACAGCAGTGAGCTATGATCTTTCCATTGCTCTCCAGCCTGGGTGACAGAGTGAGAACTTGACAAAAAAAATAATAATAAGTAATTTAATTTAAAAATAAATTTTTTAAAAATGCTGGGCTAGAGAAGTAAAAGAGCTCTGATTATCACCAGTTTTCATACCTGTGACCCTTGGTTAGACTTTCTATGAGGAGCACCAGCGGCTTAGCTATTCAGCTAAGAAGGCTTTTCACAGTACACAAGCTCCAGCATGCTGGCTTCTCTGCCACAATTCAGGACTTAGGGTTCTACCCATGATAATCTGTCTCAAACAAGCCTATAGGCAATACTGGGGTAACAATACACACAACAGAAGAATAAACCCAGGTTAGGTTACTTAATCCATTGCACCCTTTCAGGAACAAAAAATCAGTCTAATCAGCATCAAAAATTATCTCCTGATGATCTCAGCAGGGCCTCCTGGTAAGAGGTTAAGTTGTTGAGTCACTGGATTGTGTTTAAGTAAAACAACCCCTAAGTGTAAAGGAAGTGGAAATTTAGAATCTTTATTGTTCTTTTTACAACAAAAGAAAGAAGTTTTTTTTTTTTTAACAAAGATTTTCTTTTATAATTATAAAAAATGTCATGTGCTCTTTGGGAATAATGTTGAAAAATTAATCTCCCAGAGATTTGTTATATCGAATCTCCCTGAGCCCCAAACAATGAAAAATCAACCAAAATCCCACTCACCAAGACCATGACTATAAATATTTCATTGTGCTTTTGTATGCTAAAATCAGTACCAGCCACTCAATTATAGCTAACTATAACATTTAAATAATTGTTCTTCCATATTATGAAAAATCTTTGGAAAGATTAATTTTAACACCTACACAGTATTCAGCCATGTACATCTACTTCTGGTAAGCAGCTGATTTAACCAGAGACTCGGTTAGTCTCATTTTGTTTGAAGCCTTTGTTTTTCATGTTCTTTGGCTTTGCTTTTATTTTTGCTTTAATGAAAAATATTGTATTTATTTTTCTTATCTTGCCTGGAATATAATATTATGTATACATATAGTTAAAACATTTCTATAGGCTGGGCGCAGTGGCTCATGTCTGTAATCCCAGCACTTTGAGAGGCCAAGGCCAACTGATCACAGGGTCAAGAGATCAAGATCATCCTGGCCAACATGGCGAAACCCCGTCTCTACTAAAAATACAAAAATTAGCTAGGCATCGTGGTGTTCGCCTGTAGTCCCAGCTATTTGGGGGTTGAGGTAGGAGAATCGCTTGAACCTGGGAGGCAGAGATTGCAGTGAGCTGATATTGAGACATTACACTCCAACCTGGTGACAGAGTGAGACTCCATCTTAAAAAAAAAACAAAAACAAAAAAACCACACATTTCTATAATTCATATATATACATAAAACATAAGAAGAAGGATATGAAGTAAAAAGTCAAAGAGGCAGATGATCAAAATTCTGGTATACTGCTTTCTAAACCTGTGGATCCAGTTTAAACACCATATTCTCATTCCATGTCCCCCATAAGCATGGAATACTATCATTTGTTTGAATACTTGATAACTGAAAATTAAATGTGGCATCCCATTGTTATAACTTGCACTTACAAGAAAAGCAATTTAAATAAATGGAATCATGTCACATTTTTAATTGAAATGTATTAAAAGATCAATTTATCTGCTTGTTAAAAATATATCCTGACTTTCAATCAATGTTAATTACATGATAAATACCTCTGAGTTTCTTTTGTTCTTAAATATTTCATTTTACTTATTGCTACTTTTTTAAAAAATAGAGGTGAGGTCTCACCATTTTGCCCAGGCTGCTGTTGGACTCAGTCCTCCCAAAGTGTTTTGCTACTTTTAAAAATCAGAGAGAGACGTCATTGGCTTGGTCCACAGAAATGCAGACTTTTGACTGCGTATCCAAAATTTGAAACTGAGGTCAAATAATTCCATTTTATAGCTGAAAATTCTATTTTTAGACACTCAAATTTGATTATTTAATAGTGACAGTGGTCTCACACTAGATGGAATTATTGTTTCTTATCTTTAAAAGTTCTCTCAATTTTGCTTTACATTTATGGCATTTCATTTTTATTATACATTGTTTTCCAAAGTATTGCATGCTATATTCTTATGTTTTTCAACTCAAACCTAATTTTTGATAGGCTTCTATGAGCATTTTGCATTATCATTCAAGCTAATTGTACTCAAAAATTAACAAAAAGCAAAGAAAACAGGTATGAGGGTTACCAGCTTGAAGGTACGCTCACTCACTAGAGTATCCATGTACCAACTTCAGCAGGATGTGGGAGTTTTGCCATTGACTTTTTTCCATTCATAGTCTCCTTGTGAACAGTGTAAGTGAAATGAGCTGGATGGTGGTCTGCGCCTGCACTGTCATTGCTGGGAAACCGTCAGGATTACAATGGCCCTTTGTTGACTGGTTTGGCAGTGATGCCAGGAGCTGAATGGGCCACAGAGACTGAACTAGTTACGATGATTGCTCTGTCCTCTCAAACAACCAGAAGCCCTCCCTGTCTCTTAGCCTGGCCACCCTGAGATGACAGCATGGATATGGAGATGCTCCAGTTGCCCCCCACCAATATGCTTTACCAAATAGCTTAATGAAAAATTCTGGCTTTCTGATGGTCACTCTCAAATTCAGGAGGAGCACCAATCTCACCAGAAACTTGCAAAAGCATGTAGATAAGCAAGATAAAAAGTAAATCACAAAAAAAACTGTGGTACAATGGTGTGCTAATCAATCTCACTGAAATTGCCTGATGACTGTTAGCAATAAGCAGAGAGGAGAGAGAATAAAAGATGAAAGAACAAAATTAGAAAACAAACAAACAAACAAACAGCTCCTGGAGGCAGGCAGCCCAAAAGTCTGATCTGACAATTTAGGTCATAGTGATTTTTTCATTGATTGATTTTTGTCATATTAGATATTAGATCCCCCAGAGCCCAGATTTTTAGCTTTACATGCAGCCCCTACTGACAGAGAGGAGACTGAATTTTATGAAGCAGGTAGGATTAAAAAGATGATCAATCAAAAAATATGTTGCTTTTTCTTCTAACAGCTTTCTGCTCACCCAGATTTCTGGTTTTATTTAAAAAGCCACTGCCTTTGGAAACACACAGGATCTTTTCAATAGGAAAAGATCAAATGATGTTAATCAGGCCATGAGGCCTAATGCTTTAAGGCAACTGTCTCTTTACATTATACATATTCCAGCTCTATAAGGGGAAATGATTTTTATCCTAGCATTTCGTTTTTTCTTCTTCTTCTCTTCCCCCTGCCCCCCGTCTCTCCCTTTAAATCTTAAGTTTGATCAATTTGTACGGAATATGTTTTCTTCTGTAAGACTTTTTTTCCAACCCCCAAGAAGGAACAATCTATTGTTGCATCTTACAGTAAAGAAAGACAAAATGATGGAACAATGCATCCGCCGTCTCTTTTCCGCGTCCCTCACATTTCGGGTTGCTCATTTTAGGCTACATTTCAGTGCACTGCTCAGAGCTCAGGCTTCTGCCTGCTCATTCCCTTTTCTCCTCCTCAGCTATTGGTTTTGCCTGATGGATTCAGTCCATTTAACTACAGATGTAAATACTTCTACAGCTGTTCTCAATAGCTTTTTTTGACCCAGTCTTTTCTTCAAGAACACAACCGTCATCGTTTGAATTCTGCGGCATGTTAAGCCGGAAGATGCAAAAAGGGAGGGGTTGGGGAAAAGATACGTAATAATAGTCTTCAGACATTTGACCTGCCACCCCATGGATGTAGGGTCAAAGTTCTATAGGAATATAGAGCCATTAGAACAGTGATTCTGAAAGACGGGCATGTGGTAAGTAGAGTCACTTGGGGACTTCTTCAGGTTGCAATCCCTTTCTCTACTGAGATGCTAATGTGCCTGCTGTAGCGTGCCACTGTTACTATGGGAATGTGATCTATTTCTCAGGAACATTAGGATAGAAAAATTGAGAGAACTAGAGAAATAAACTATAAATTCCACAAGCAGGTAAACTACATAACTTCCTCATCATTTTATTCCTAAGGTCTAACAGGGACTGGCACAGAGCAGATGCTCAAAAAATCTTGAAGTATTGTCTTGTTTGTAAATTGAAATAAAAACTTCAGGGAAACAAATTTGGTTTTAATGTAAGAATGATCTAATAATATGAAGCATTGGCCAAGGTGAGTTGCCATGACAGACAGAAACTGGGGGCACTGGTATACCAGTGGAGAGTTGACCCCATCTATGCAACTAACAGACAGGCAGCCAGTTTGTCCCCAGGATAAGAGAAAACTCTAACATGTTTTATTTCATGACTATGAATAGATTAATATTTGCAGGGTATAAAGAGAAGCATCCTGGCACATCGTCAGTTTAAATTAGGGAAACAAATGCTTATGCTTTGCTTTCTGAGGATTCTGTGTTAAATTTGAACTACAGTTTATTAAATCCTAAATCTTAAATTTTTATTTATAATAATTTGGGGTTTGTTATTAAGAAGAATACTTTTACCTTTGAACGTCTCTGAGTACTTGGGTGTCTTTCTCTAGAGCTCTATATGAATGCTGGTACATATTAGCACAAAGATGCCTTCTGCCTACAGACAGCAAAACCTTTTAACCTCTCCTCTTTGCCATAGTAATTTGGAAAACAAATTTTCAAATAAGCTTGATAGTGGCACACAGGAAATGTCCAACATTTTCTTGAAACATTGGAAGTCTCTTGAGGTTTTGCCCTCCTTCTCTTTTCTTTTTCCTGCTCCTCTGTAATTCTGAATGAAATTTATCATCCAAGGGAATGGGGTACCATGATAATTTTTTTGATAGCGATGCATTGTACAGTCATTTACGCTGAACATCTATGGCCTATTATCAGGAAGTCATAAAGTGGGAAGCCTCAGTGCCCACACAGGGTTGATGTGAGGATATTTTGGTCAAGAGCGCCACCTCTCAGCAGTGACTCCACGTGGCCCCCTGTGGGCCAAACTCAGAGAAACCCTTAGTCAGTGGAAGAGGGAATCATCTAGTCACTAGCATTTTCTCATTTCTCTTTACACAATTACCTTTTCTACTAAATGGTGAGGAAGCACCTGAGACTGTGCATCATGCCTGTTTTAGTGGAAGCACACAGTAGGTGGATAAACCTGGGTTCTGAAAAATAGCCCTGAGTTTTCCGTGTCAATGGCTTTGCATTATCTATGAATCCACTATTAAAAGAGGGTAATGGAAAATTCTTAGCTACTTATTTAAAAATGTAGCTTCTTACAGAGTAAAGCAAGTCTTCAAACTTTATCAAGTTTAAGCATTATTCCTCAGCATTTTAGAGATCTTAGAGTTCTTCTAAGCCCTTTCTGTTATAGGTGAGGGATATGGGGTTGAGAGTGGTGCAATGACTTTCTACGACTCCCCTGTTGATTCCCAGCCACTGTCTGCTGCCCTCCGGCCCTTTCCTTTGAACTCTTTTCTTTGGATTCCCAGGATTTTACAGCTTAGCGGGTACCAGAAAACTGAGACGAAATAAAAACGAATTGTGATGTCAGACTGTATCTGAATAGATATTTTATCTTTGTATATTTGTTATATGCGGCTAGTGCTAATAATGTACAAATCTTTCTATCCATAACACACACAAAACACAGATGTTGATTTCTGAATAAACTTACGTAAATCACTGTAGCTGTGTCTGAATTTATTCATGCAAAAATTTTGAAAAAGCAGTTTTAGATTCTTCTTTATAGGGAGCTTTTAAGTGACTTAAAATATACACCTGTATGTATTAATTTGATTTGATGTTCATATGACATTTTCTAAGCAACATGCCATTTTTTTTTTTCTGAGACAGCATCTCACTCTGTGACCCAGGTTGGAGTACAGTGGCATGATCTCAGCTCACTGCAACATCCACCTCCTGGGTTCAAGCGATTTTCCTGCCTCAGCCTCGTGAGTAGCTGGGACTACAGGTGCTCACCACCACACCCAGCTGATTTTTGTATTTTTAGTGGAGATGGAGTTTCATCATGTTGGCCAGGCTGGTCTCAAACTCATAACCTCAAGTGATCCACCCACTTCGGCCTCCCAAAGTGCTGGGATTACAGGTGTGAGCCACTGGCCACTTGCCTAACTTAGAGACTTTTGGAGATAATGTCATGTTCTGGGTGACATGGAGGACATTTTATCTCATTTTTTTTTAACTGTAAAGTGGTGTTGCTGTCACAGGAGAAAAGTAGTAGGCTAAATGTGAGAACACTTAGGTTCAAGTTCAGTGTCAGTCACTTAGTAGCTCTGTGGTTTAACCCAAGTCACTTAAACTCTCCTGGGGTGTGAGTGTGTGTGTGTGTGTGTGTGTGTGTGTGTCTGCTTGTTAGAGGGTAGGTGCGGTAATAAGAAAATCTAAACTGCCTTTTCTCATTGGATTGTTCTTACCCTCAAATTCAACAATGTACTTGAAACTTCTTTGAAACATAAATCAAGTTTAAGTTAGTATTACAATGGCCAGAGCATTTGCTCACCGCCAGGTAGCATGCCAAATGGAGGCAGTGTATTTAAAGGTTAAAAGTCAAGCTCTTTGATCTGCCAAATTGGATGGAATCCCAGCTTCACCACTCACTAGCTGCGTGACCTCTGGTGAGTGCTGAACCTGCCTGAGCTCCACATCCTGATGGAATAGGAATGTAGTAGTACACATCTCTTGTTGGGTTGTTATAAGTACAGTGATTCATGCAAGTCATGAAGTTGGAGGTCAAGCCCATAACATATCGACGTTAGTTTGTCTTCATATTATGAGATTCTTGGCTCTTGCTTTTCCTATGGTTCTGTGGGATCATCAGTCTAGGAGGGTTTGGCCTGTTTGTTAGCCCTTGAAACATTTACTTAGATCTCCTTTACTTGTTTACAAAGCTAAGATGTCACCTCAAATAACGTAGAACAAATTAATGTGTCGTGAAACAAAATCATCTTCAGTAACCATGCAAGAGTTTGAAGGCTAAACCTAAAGATATATATTTCGTATTATAACTTCATTACTCTCATCTTCAGAGCTATGTCCCTTTCAGAAAAATTCTACTCCAAAAGAAGATTTGGTTTCAGGATATCTCCTGGACTGCAAGCATGTACCTAGTAAGTGTCCCCAATAATTTCAGACCCTTTAAAACTTCATGGATTTCATAAATAACTCATATTTTTATTTGTATTACAAATAATTTAGTTCCTTTACTCAATTTCCCCTATCCGATTTTGAACTTCTCTAAGGGTTAGATATTTTCTGATTTTTCCTACTATACCTAATATTTAAGTTACATGAATGATTCAAAGATCTTTAATGCTTTGACATTGTGTAAGCTTGGACTACTGCTGTGCCTCAATTACCTTCTTGTTGGGCATCTTTCAAAAATTTGCTTTAATTCTGTAAACGTCAGCTGC